GGGGGGGGGGCGACCTGGCAGCATCTCTGAGCCATCAACTACAATGATCACTTGCTGGCAGCCTAAGTCCTTCTGCAGCCCTAGTTTGTTATTTTGGCTGACATTAAAAAACAAACTTTAAAAACTAAACTAAATTTGAATGCCTGTTGATGGCTTGTGCTCCAGAGCAACCTTCTCAAACTTTCATGTGCATACAGATCATCTAAGTATCTTGTTAAAATGTAGATTCTGTTTCACTAGGTCAGTGATGGGTCCTGAGATTTTGCTGTTTCTAACAAACCCCAAGTTTCTGTCAGTCCTGCTGGTCAGTGCACCTCACTTTGACTAGCAAAGCTCTACAGTTAACCATAATCCCCACCACCCTCTATGTCTAATACCCAGCCCAAGTCACCAGTGATTTTACCCATCTCGCCTCTATAGGGATTTGGTTTGTCACGCTGGAAAATCCCTGCCTGTCCCCCCTCGTTTTACAGATGTGAAACGGACCAGAGAGAATAAATGGGTTCTGCAAGGTCATTCAGCAAGCGAAAGCCTATCTATGTCTCTCTCTGCCACATGGTAATACATCCTGCCTACAAAATAAATGGCTGTACTTCAAGTATCTGTGCCTCTCTGAAGAAATTAGGACATTCCGATGCCAGAATGGAATGAGAATGGCTAGATTTACTGGATACCCACAGTAGTCCAGGTCCTGTGCTAAGTGCTTTATATGGATTATTTCATTGACCACAATATCTGGATGAGGTAGAGACACAGCCCCACTTTATAGATAAAATCACCAGGTTTGAAGAGGTTTTATAAGTTGCTTAAGGCCACACAACTAATAATAAGTAGACGACCTGGGATTTGAACCTCATAGTCTGCCTCAATCTATGTCTGCACTTAATTTCTGGCTAGCTCAGGCTGGCAGGCAGAACTTGGTTGCAATTGTTCTGTTTGTCTGCCAGAGTGAACTTAAACTGTATTTTGAGAAGGCAAAGTGGGCAGTTGATCAAATGATTAAGACTTAAGGGGGTTTTCCATCCCCTTCCGTAATTCCACCATTATCGCTTCATTCCTTTCAATTAACTGCATTAACTACTCACAGTCCTCTTGGGGAAAAAAAGGGGGGTTGATTCAAAGAAGAGTAGCCCATTAAATATCAATAGGTAAGTAGAGAATCTTGCCTGCTGATGGCAAGAATGGAAATCCAAGTGGAGGACTGGGTGAGTTTGAGAGGGAAGGGAACATGCCAAAGACAAATACTGACTTCCAGTCCACTCAGGATCAGCTGAGCTGGAAACGCAAGAGAAACAGAATCTTCCCATTTTGTCGGCACCTGTCTTGCATGGCTAAAGCTGCTCAGAGTTCTTGTAAATAGAAATTGACTCTTCTGGAAAGTCACAAGCCTATCTTCGTCCTAAAATATGGATTGCTTTGGCCTGAATAATCAAACTGACTTTCTGAATAGTGCAGGAGCTGGAGTTTTCATTTTCTCTCCTTGCCTCACAGCTTTCTAGTCTGCAGGAAACAGCTGGAGACAGCGCTGCCATTCTCCCACTTATTCTCCCATTCTCCAGAGTTTACCTTTACGTGCCCAGCACGGCAGGAAACGCAAAGGTGATTTTCTAGAAGAGCTTGGCACTAGAAAACAAGGCAAACTGGGGGGCAACCCACCAAGATGGAATAAGGGCTATTGAGGACACATATACAGAGGACTTGGAAACAGAGAGAAAGAAGTGGTTTCAGGCACCTGGGAAGATTCTAAGGAGGAGAAATGAGAGCTGAAAGTGGGGTTGGAGTCATGAGGTTTCCACTTGCATTCCCTGTCCTCTGAGAAGTCCCTTCGTTGATGGCCCCCAGTAGTTACCAAATTTAACATTAAAAATTTTGCTGTGCTGTGGACCACCTATAATTTTTATATTAATATTTTTCTATTAAAGTCAAGTTGCTTTAAAACTTTATTCATCCTAACCTATATTTGTGAAGTGTGAGTAGCAGTAGAAATACCACACTTTGGAAAAAACTGACCTCCAAGCAACACACTTTGGAAAGATCACCTCCAAGCAACGGGGCCTGAGCAGCCTTTGGTTCTTGAACCAGCTGATTTTAACAAATCTGTTGGGCGGCTCCACCCTGGTGTTGCTGGTTGATTATGACCTATGGACATCTAAACACCCAGCTTGGTAACAAGACTTCCCAAGGTCATCTGCTGGGTTCTTAACTGCAAGTTCAGAAAAGATTCCTGGTGAAACATGTCTGTGGATGTTCCCAACCACATGAGGTCTCTGTGCTCCTGGTGACACAGGTCTTTAGTGAAAACACAAGCCTTCCTTCCCTGGTGCCATGTTCAGTTAGGAGAGTCCCCATGGTAGACTTACTTGGCATTGAATTGTTAAAACGTTGTTGCCTCCATTGTGTTTAGAGGAGGTGTATTGCCCAAGGTCAACTGCTTTGTGGGTGGTGAGGATACTTATTTAGGTAAGTGTCTGCCTTCCCTACTGGAAGGCCTGAACACAGTAAGTGCCTTACATGTAGTGAGCATTTGACTGCATTTGCTGACTTGGAGCAAATATGGCATCACTCAACCCCTCCTACGCCTTTGGATGCTGGTTACTCCATAGGAGCTATCGAAATTCCCGCAGCCCTGACAGGTCAGAGATAACCTGGTATCAGAAGTCGACATCACAGAAAGCCACTCTCAGTGCCTAGCGCTTCCAGCTGTCTGACGGCGCATACCCGCCATCCTCAAATGTGGCTGTAGCCTACGATCAGCCCAGTAGTTAAACTGATCATACCATTTTAAAGGAAACTAAGCAGACCTATTTCAATTCACTTTTCAGAGTGAGTGAAACACAAAATATTTACCCCCAAAATGGTGCAGTGCTG